CCACCCTCCCGCCCATGCTTGGCTTTCCAGGACAGGCCCCCCTGCAGCGAACTCTGCCCCCAAGGAAGAGATGACTTGACTAATTGCTACAGAGGTGCTGCCCGACAACCTAGTGAATTGAGTTTTGTTGTTAAACCCTTCTGTGACCTTGGGCAAGTCACTGCATTTCCCTAAGCCCTGGGCTTCTCCTCCTGTTTTGATGTTATGCAAGTTAAGGACTGCAGGTCAGTGGTAGCTCTCTCTCGAAGGGACATTTCAGGGGACACAGCGGTGATAAAGACCTGGCCCCCCCACCTGCTTGAAGCTCATAGTCTGATGGGGAGGACAGGTGCTCACGCAGTGAAGACAACACAAAGTAGGGTGATATTAAAATCATCAGAATCGACAATTTCAGCTAGAGATGATGATGATTTTGGTGTTGTTAATCATGATCATTGTAGTGATGATGATGATGATGATGATGATGATGATGATAAACAAATAGTCAAGGCTAATTAATGAGTGCCTTCTATGGGCCAGGCCCTGTGCGAGGAACGTCCTCTGCTTTGCTTCTAGTCCTTCTGACGCCCCTTTTAGGTGGACATCATTATCCCATTTTACAGGTGGGCGTGGTCCTGAGCAGGTGCATGGAGCACATCACATGCAAGATGAACGTCGCTTGGAGGGTTAGGTTGTAGATGAGATTCAGGAAGAGAGACTGTGGGGCCGAGGAGGGGAAATGATGGACATACTTCGGGAATGGGCATAACTGGGGAAAATCAGAGGTTCTCAGATGAGGAAATAAAGAGAACTTGAGTGGGAGGGTGTGGGAGGAAGAAGAAGGTGGGTGGTGGGGATGAGACACAGAGTGAGACTGGGAGGGAGAAGCACCCAGAGGCAGACTGTGAGGGTAGGTGTTTCCAGCACCAGACCAGGATGTGGGGGGAGGTCCTGCTGGGACTGTGCTGGGCTGCCCCGCCCCATTTACTGCTACCGGTGTCCCTGTGAGCTGGCTGAGATGCGGAGACGCAGGTCTTCCATCCAACTCTGAGTTGTGCTGGCTTATAAGTGAATAAACACACAGAGTTTTGGATTTGGCTTGATACTCCTGGGCTAATGATTTCTGAAATAAATTAATTGGACCAGTTTCTCTTGTACACACAGAGCCAACCTTCCCATAGTGGCGGGATGAGAAAGCAAGGGGCCATGAGCAAGTCCTGGTCAGGTTCTCATCATCCGTCTCTAGACTCTGGGGGTCCCACTCAGTCTAACGTTGTGTGATATCTCCTCCATCCATTGACGGAAAGGAATAAACCGTATCTTAAAGAGATGGCAGGGAGGAGGTCGATACCCACATGAACTCCTGTCCCCAGGATGTTCTGATGCATTTGGGAGACACCCAGCTTGGCTCCGAAATGGTGGGAAGGCCTTAGCCAGCAAAGGAAAACTTTCAGCCACAGAAGTCTTTCCTGGGGGGCGCCCCCCCCCAAAAAAAAAAGAGATGGAGAGAAGAGAGGCCAGGGAGGCTAGGAGCCAGGAAGGCTACTGTGGATTCTTTCTCTTTGGGGAAACAGAGGCTTCTCAACGTCTGAAAAAAAAATCAACCACATACGCGCAGAGGAATCGTTCCAACATCCCTCATCTCCGCCTTGGGCCAGAGTGAACACCACTCCCTGAAAAGATTGCCTATGCAATTACCACGGAATAAACAGCCAATTACAATGTCTCCCCTGGCCCTACCCGCCCTTCTCTCTCCCCCCTGAAGCTTTCTCAGCCTCGAGCAAGGGGGCAGAGAGGTAACTTGCTCTAATCACATCTGTGTTCTCTGCCGGAGAGAACACTTGATGGAAGTGGACGAATCAATTAGAAAACAATAAATAATGTGGAAAGGGCTGATCCAAGCTAACCTCAGCTTCTCCGTGTTCTCATTCCCTCCCACACGTTGTTTCTCTTTGCACCACGACCCTGAGTGCGCCTGGGAGTGGGGGGGGGGGGGTTGTGGGAAGGGTTGGCCCCATCTCAAGTTGCACTTGGCCTTGTCACTCTGTGATCTCTGAACCCCTGTTACTTCATCGATAAGAGGAAGATAAATAATAGGAGAGCTAAACCTTTCCTGAGGTTTTCTACATGCCAGGTAATATTGCAAGCCGTTCCACTGTCTCGTTTTAGTGTCCCCAATCCTCTGAACAACTCTGTGAGGTAGGTACTGTTATTCTTTTTGTCTTGTGACAAAAAAAAGTGGGGTACAGGAAGTTAAGTAGATTGCTCAGGGTAACCCAAATATCAGTGGAAGAGCTGGATCCGAACCCAGGGCTCTGGCTCGAGAAGGAGCCGTCTTACCCTCTCTGCGGCTTCAAATATTGCACAGAGATAAGCCAGCGTGTGTGGTTGGCATACAGCAAGGGCTTAGTAAGTGCTGGTTTCCTTGTCTGATCACAGGACAGACTGGTTTGCACTCCTTAGGAGGCTGCCAGTCCGAGAAGGTGACGATAGGATCTGGGGGAGAAAAGGTCCGAGCAGCAGCACAGAGCCAACCCCTCACATGTGTGGCTGTCTCTGCAGTTAGGCACTTCGCCCGAGGTCTGGTCCACGCGGATGCGGCCTCGCCCGGCCCTGCCTGCTCTCCACTTGCTGCTGAGCGGTTCTCTGAACAGCCGTAAAGAGGACGGTTCCATGAGTATTTGGTCTCGTGACCTCTGGATGACACGGGTAGACAGGAGGGCCCTCGAGGTCTCAGATGTCTCCTGTTCTCATCGGAGGAGAGGCAGGAGGCTGTGACCAACCACAGTGCCCTGGGAAGCCCCCAGTGGATTGGTAAGGAAACCGAGGCCTCCTACGAAGGCCCTGCGGACGATGAGCTCAGTGTTTCCGCTTTTCCCTTTCCTGGTGGAAGTTCGACTCCATCCGCGTTTACTGAGTGCTTCTCAGGCGCTGCACCCTGTGCTGAGGACTCAGTAAACGGACATAAAGCGGACACACCGCCGCCCTCCAGGGGGCCACAGGGAGTGGCAGGTACAGACAGGTGTAGTGATGACTTGGAATGCTGTCACAGTGCGTGTTAATAGGAGGTAGATGAGTACAAGGATGGGAAAGAGGGTGATGTGGAAATCAGGGAGGCCTTCCTGGAGGAGACATACCAGAATGGACTTTGGAATTGTTCATCAGAGGACAGAATGGGGAGCAGGGTCCCTGACAGAGGGAGCGGCATGAGTGAAGGCGCTGGGGCTGATGCGTCAGGGTGTCTTCTGCCAGTGCACAGTGGGACACGCACAAGAGGGAACAGAGAGCGACGAGGCTAGAAGTGGAGGCCGGTTCTTGCAGGCCGTGCTGGGGAGCCTGGACTTGACTTTTCACCTACAGAGGCCCGTCTGTGAAGCAGAGGCGGAGGGAAGGGAACCGTCCTTGTGTGCTCTCTGTGTCGGGCTCTGTGCCAACCCCCTGCGGAGAGACAACATTCTGAAACAGGAAAACACTATTAACTGACTGTGAGGACAGCAAGGCGTGACGGTTCTTTCAGCCTCTGTTTTCTCCTCTGGAAAACGGGGTAATAGTACTGCCTCCCTCAGTGTCGATAAGCCGATCAAAGGAGAGAATCCCTGAAAGGCAGGCCACATGGAGGGGCCCGGCAAGCAGGAAGTATCATTATTCCTAGACTTGATCTCACCTACTCCGTCAGGCTGCCTGCCCGCATTTATTTATGTTTTTGTTTGTTTACTCACGGATTCATTTTCAGTCTTTTTTTTTTTTTGCATCTACAGATAGAGCGGGAGGGAGAGAGGGGGGAAGAGAGAGAGAAACGTCGACGTGAGAGAGACACATTGAGTGGCTGCCACCCACACGACCCCAACCAGAGCAGGGACAAACTGCAACCGCTTAGCAGGAACCAAACCCAGGACTCCCTGGTCCGAGCGCCAGCACTCTAACCGCTGAGCCAAACCAGCTAGGGCTCATTTCCAGTCTTCCTGGAGAAATGATTACCAGCTGCTCACAAGGTCCCTACCACACGATGGCAGACAGAAAGCAGGAGGGAAAGAAGGCATGCCGGGAGCAGGTGCCTCTCTGCACGCAGGACAGAGGCGCGGAGTAACCCGTGCCTGACCCAGAGCCTCCCCTTTCCGTCCCCATGACAGAGGCTTCCCCCGCAAGGGCCCAGTTCTTACGTATGGAGCACCTAGGTCGGGCCAGTCTCTTCCCAAAGACCTTGTCTTTCTCTCTCCAACATGTTTGCTCCATGCATTGAAGAGCTGACGATTGTAAACGGAGTTAATTCCCTTTCCGGATATGTCAGACTTCCGTGGGAGCGACCTCAAGTGCAATACCCTTCTCCAGTCCGTTTCACGAAGAAATAGAGGCTTGCAGAATGCAGGTGCATGTTCTAGGAGAGGCAGCCTGGTGCCCCAGTCAAAGGAGAACAGGTTTCCAAGCTGGACAGACTTGGCCTTGAAACCCAGTTCTGCAGCCTTGGACAACCTGCTCAGTAACCCTGGGTCACGTGTTGCTTAGCTTGAAGACCAGGGAACAATGCCTTCTTGCTGGGTTGTTATGGAGATGCAGAGGGCCCCTTCGTGCAGCTCCATATGTAGTCAATGAATGGTCCAAGGTCCCTAGTGAATGAGTAAGAGAAGAAAAGCTAAGACTAGAAAACGGGTTATCTCTTCCACGGTCTGTGTTCTTGATCTGTACCCTCATCATCTGGCCGGTTGCCAGTCTCTACAGCAGTCCGTGGAGACATAGATGTTGACTTTAGATAAATCTAGGTTCTTAACTGAACTCTGCTGTGTGTGAGCCAAACGACCTTATCAAGTCTCTTAAACTCATAAGAATGTCATTTTCTTATCTATAAAATGGGATCATATCAGTTTCCTTATACTATGATGGAGAGAAGTTAATGAGGTGATGTTTATACAGCGCTTAGCCAAGTGCCTGACACATAGTCGCTCTTACTTAACGAGCGGTACCTGTTATGTGAAGAGTAACTTTCTTGGACGGTGATGACAGCCAAGGTTCTTTTTCTGTTACAGAGCATACTTGGATGTTAATGAACTGAAGAACATTCTTAGACTGGATGGAACTACACACCTCAATATCTTCTTTGCAAACTCCTCGGAGGAGGAATTGGCAGGAGTAGCCACTTGGCCATGGGACAAGGAGGCCCTCATGCCCTTAGGTGAGAAATAGAGACTTCTTCCGAAGGGAGCTGGGTTAGTACAGAAATACATTTACCAGTGATGATGATGAGGAGCGTGGTGCTCACGGTCGTCATGGTGGCGGTGGTCTGGGAATGGTGAATGATCTATGTATCACTTTTTCATTTATAAAACTCGGCAGCATGCCTGATGTCATGCGAACCACCGCGAGATGCTCTGAAGAAAATATACAATATTATTAACCTTTTGTACGTGGGGAAACAGATTTAGAGAGGGAGTAGGGCTTATCCAAGCTCATGCACATGTCGGGGGAAGAGCCGTATTTTGAAGTCAGATCAGATGTACGAACTCTGTCCACCGATTGCTTTCATCTTTTGTCTTCTGCCTCTTAGTCTATACAAATGTCCTCTCAGCCTGGTTACCTCATTGTCCTGGCACAGTCACACATGGGTTGGCTTGGAAGACCCCAAAGAGGCAAGAGAAAGTGAGTTTGTAGGAACTTCTTGTTCCTTCATGTTCCACCCACCAATATCCCCGGGAACTCTTCTTACAGTCAAATGATGCATGTCCATAAACAAGACACATGTTTATGCAAATCAGTTGCCAAAGTCAGAAATGACAATGGTTTCTGAACCAGGCCCTGCAAGCAAACATCCTCTTATCTCTGTGTATCCACTCTCTCTTCCGGTTCACGGATACACAGATGTGTATCTTTTTCCTTCTACTCGCACATCCTTGAAATCATAGCATAACTGCAATTTTGTGTTCTTTTTTACACCCAATATCCTACTCTACATTTTTCCATGTTGCAGCAATCTTCATAATTATTTCCCACCCAACCTTTTTTGTTTAACTTCACAAGAGAGAACATCTTTCTGGGTTATTTCCATCTCTCTGAAGACAAGATTTGTAACAGCCGTGTAATATTCCATTGAGTGAGGACACTCAGTTTATTTAGCTGCTTTCCTTTGGTAGCATGTTCCCATTATTTACACCAGTGAAGAGTGATGGCGCATGACCACCTTCACTGGAGAGTGTCCAGGCTCAGCAGATATTTCCTCCGGCTGCCTGGTCTCCCAGGGACAAAACCACAGCCCGGCAGTCACATCTGTGCTGTTGTGGAGGTGAAGGGCTGTGCAACTTCAGACACTGACATTGTGCTGTTTTGAACTCCAGACTCAGGTCACTCTAGACGGCTCTCAGTTCCTCGTTTTTAAGAGGCTGAAACTAGTGTGTGTGCGTGTGTGTGTGAGTGTGTGTGTGTATGATTGTGTAAATAAATAGAGATAGATACAAAGATAAATATATAGTGGTTCTCAACCAGAGGGGCGGGGGACAGATTGGAGTGTATCTCCTAGGAGACGTTTGGCAATGTCTAGATATACTTTTGGTTGTTACACATGGAGAGATGTTACTGGGGTCTAGTGGGTAGAGGCCAGTGATGCTGCTGAATTTCCTGCAATATCCACAGAGAGGAATTGTCTAGTCCCAAATCCATGAGTGCTGATCGATGATGGACAGGTAGACAGACAGATGGACAGACACACAGACGGACAGGGACTGGGCAGAAGAGAGTGCAATTGCAGGCAAACTTGGGGACGATCGGCTTGCGTCACCTGCCTCATAGGATGTATGGGAAGTGTGCTGGTGCAGAGCCTGAACCCATGGTGGTTCTCAGCAGTGAACACTCACCGCGTGGCCTTAGGCAAGTCTCCTTCCCCTCCCAGATCGCCACTTCTTCGGGTTTTAAATGAACAAGTCAGACGAGCTGGCAGCCTCCAAGGACCCTTCTCAGGGCTGAAGTTTCGTTCTGTTGGAAAAGCAACCGAAAAGGCCGTGAGCAGCCTCAGCAGGGTTGAGCAGCAGGCTTCCAAAGTTGGAGGAAAATACTCCTGATGACTCCCGGAGTCTCGGAGACCGGCTCGGACGGAGTCCAGAGGCCATAAATCCGCAGCATGTTACAGTGTTTCAGGACGCTGTCGGGCTTGTGCGGTTTCACCTCTTAAAGGAGCAGTGAAACAGGGCTCGGCCGGGGCTGTAGCGTGGGGAGGGGACGAGGGAAAACAAACAGCCAGGCTGGAATTCAGTCTGAAATCCTGTCCTTATCCCTGAAAATACCTGTGGGGTCCGCCGCCCATTACCTCAACGTCGAAGCTGCGTGGAGGAGACAGAGCATCACTGACACTCTGGTGGCTGTTTATTTGAGAACACACCAGAGATGCAGAGTCACCTTCCCAAGATCACACAGCCAACCTGAAGCAAAGTGAGGACTGCAACCCATGTCAGGCCAGCTCCAGCTGTCTGTCAGGCTGACCTCCCTGTTCTGTGAGATGTTGATCATGAGCAATTTCTCCGAAGCAGCCCCAATCAAACCCAATTTATTAGACTACATATACACGTGTGTGTGTGTGTGTGTGTGTGTGTGTGTGTACCGTGATTCTTGGAAAAGTCTTGGATGGGAAGAGGGATGGGAAGGGGATTATGTTTCATATTATGATTGACAGAAAATAAGCGAGAGAGATTTCCTGTTTCAATTTCTCTCTCCCTGCCTCTGCCCGCCCGTTCTCACGTACACGCGTGCACCCCCACCCCCTGCTAGAAGGAGGCTCTGAGCGGTGCAGAATGAGCAGTCTCCGTGAGCCCATCCCCGAGCGAGCGCCCCCGGCAGGTCACTCCGAGAGAAAACGCGCACGCTGGCTCCAGGCCTGCCAGGACAGGTCGCAGGCCCTGCCTTTGTACCCTGCGCTGTAAGACACCGCTCGCACGTCAGGTTACTACTTCTAGGAAGCTCAGGCCTGAATCCCCACCTGAGATTTAAAGTTGAAACATCTCTGCTAGCCTACGTGTCCTTCTCCAAGGCCTGAAAGGAACGGGGAGCGATGCCATCCGCTGGTTCTGCTGAGACCTGCTCCGTCCATCCACCCCAGCAGCGCTCAGTCTGCTAAGGCACGCGGTGTGGGCCACTGCTTCTCAGACCAGAACGCACGGATGAGTCATCCAGGGCCCTATTAAACCCAGATTCTGATGCTGTAGGTTCGGGTGGGGCCTGAGGCTCTGCCTGCCTGGTCACCCCCCAGGTGACACTCACACTGCTTGTTCTTGAGCCGCCCTTTGCATAACAAGCAGTTAGACGGTAAGTGAGGCCCTCATTGTACGGCAGATGCTCTGCTGGCCGCGTACACGTGACTGGACCTGGCAACGTTTCTTTCGTTGGGTCACATTCCGCAAATATTCAACACACATTTAAGGAGACGCCATGTTTCAGTCCCTGGGGTAGGCATTAGCAGTAGAACTCAGATAAAGAGCCCTAGCTTCGGCCGGCCGGTGTGGCTCAGTGGTTGAGCATCGACCCATGCACCAAGAGGTCGATGGTTCTATTCCCGGTCAGGGCGCATGCCCAGGTTGTGGGCCTGATCCCCAGGGGGCATGCAGGAGGCGGCCAGTCGATGTTCTCTCTCATCCGTGTTTCCATCTCTACCTCTTCCTTCCTCTCTCTCTAAAATCAATAAATAAAAATAATTAAAAAAACAAAAGAGCCCTAGCTTCGGAACCCAAGGGTCATGGTTCAGGTTTTAGCTCCTCACTCGTGGGCCACGTCCCTGCTGTGTGAACTGGTGCCTGTCTCCCGGGGTGGGGAATGCCTGTGCCCACACACTCCGCACGGGGCCTGCGGAGACAACCTTGCTCTTCGGTCACTGTCACAGTGACAAGCGCAACATGGCGCTGGCCTGCATGAGTTCACTCGCATAGACTCTGGAGACGAAGGGACGGGAATCAGAGGTGGTCACTGACGTGCTTGCGGTCAGAGAGTTAGTGAGGCAGGAGGAGTGCTGAAACGCGCAGGTGTGTGACCTCGAGGGCTTCGTAGAAACAGAAGCGTGAGAATGTGTATAGACCAGAGTGGGTGTGGCTTACTTCCCAAGGAAGAAGCTGACCGGCCCAGAACTCAGAGTTCTCGACTTCTGACCATGCCGCCTCTTTTCAGCGGTTTACAGTTGCTTTGGGTGAGCTGCCTCACTTCCTTCGGCGTTGGCGTTGTCGTCTGAAGAGCGAAGGGATCGCTCAGAATGGTTTTGAGACTCCATCCTGCTGAATTGATGCTTCGTATTAAAAGTCATAACAGCTCCCAGGGCAGTGGAGTCACGGGGTGGGAAAGATTGTGGTGACTTTGGGCAGCACCCCACTGATGGCGAGATGCCTGAATCAGGAAGCAAAGTGTCCAGCTTGCCTAACGCTTTGGTTTTCCCCTTGCAGGGGGCATCGTCTTGAACCCCTCCTTCTACGGCATTCCTGGGCACACCCACACCATGATCCACGAGATCGGGCACAGCCTCGGCCTCTACCACATCTTCCGAGGTATCTCGGAAATCCAGTCTTGCAGTGACCCCTGCATGGAGACCGAGCCCTCCTTTGAGACCGGAGACCTCTGCAGCGACACCAACCCAGCCCCGAAATACAAGTTCTGTGGTGACCCTGGGCCAGGAAACGACACCTGTGGCTTTCATAGCTTCTTCAACACTCCTTACAACAACTTCATGAGCTACGCAGGTAGGGCCCTACTCTGCAGGGTGCTGGGCTGGGTGTCAGACGGGTGCCAGTGGCTCAGCAGTGCCAATGTGTCTTCTTCCCCACAAGTCCTCATCCCACACGGTCAGGGCAGTGCCGCTTCCAGGAGGACCTCAAGTGTGCGTGGATGATGTTGCCTCTGAAACTCCCCAAAGACCCACGGGGCAGCTGACCGGGACCGAGAGTCCGGAAACCCGGCTGGAAGGCCTGGCCCTGCCGCCAGGTCACGCGGTGCCTTTCAGTCCATCGCATCCCCTCCCCATCTCAGGAAATGGACTCCTTAGACTCCGCCTCCAAGGTTCCTCCGCTTTTGCAGCTGTATTTTCCTCAGCCGGTGGTTTTTGAACCTTAAAACACACACATGAAATGCTCACACCTCCTTTACTATTTTATTCCCCAAAACACACACAAAAAAATAGAATGCGTTTAGCTTTGTACATACATGATGATTACATGAGATCGATACATCCTTTTGCTCAATGCACACGTCCCATCAAAGCCCTTGTACAGCATCAGAGGCAGCAAGAAGGACTCACTGGCTGGGTTCTGTAAGGCCCTGCCCTTCCTGTTAGCAAATATCCAGGCCGTGTCCAGTCCCTGCGACATCTTTGACCAATGAGAACAAGACACCCTGCCTCGCAGTCACGGCCCTCGCCGCTGGCCCTTCGGCTAAGAGCTCCGTGTAAGGGCTAGAACCACACAGCTGCACCTGGTAGCCCAGCACAGATTCTGCTACAACAGTCAACTAGGTGTCTCTTTGTCCCACTAGAATGAGCGAGCTCTGTGCAGGCGGAGTCCTCTATCCATCGCTGTATTCCTAGCGCCTAGAACAGGGCCTGCGAGCTTAGCGAGTGAGTGTGAGGGAGAAAGGGAGGGAGGGAGTCGTGGGCAGAGGACAATGAATGCACTCTCCTGGAATAGGTCTATAAAACTGATTCTTATGGATAACAGTGTTTCTCCTTATGTAAAAGTTTATCGTCCATAAAGGACTGGATGGTATACATCATCTCGTTGAATTCTCACCAGAAATCTAAGGGGAAGGAAGTATCCACTTTTCACAAATGACAGCCACACGTCTGACTCCCAGGTTTTTTTTTTTTCCTTCTACAATTGTGCCAGTTTTCAAGAGACCGCGCTGAGGGGTGAGTGGGACATCGAGATGCCACGGGGGCTGCCTGGGTGGGGCTGTAGGCCTCCATGTCCGCCTGAACCAGGGAGGCCTCCTGCCAGGGGGTTTTCATGTCTATTGGGGTTTCCCTTCAGAGTCCAAGTAGGAAGATAATGATGCTATTAAACATGATGAATTAGATGCTCCCCGTGGGTCTTCTCATTTGGGCTGATGACCGCCGGGGACCTCAAGTTCATATAGTCCAAACCTGGGGTCTCTCGAAAAGTCAGTAACCCACCCAGGCAGCATAAAGGGTCTTTAAGCCTAGGTCTCTAAAACAGACCAGAGCGCCGGGTATTTCCTCCCAAGCAGATTCCCACCGAGCTCCCGTTCCCAGCCAGGCTGCCGTCGCGCGTCCAGTGTCCTGTCCCCTCACACAGCCCTGCTAACGTCCCATTTCGACAGCACCTTTCCTCGGCCAGTGCGACGCACATGGAAAATAAACAATAACATGAGCTTGGAGGTTGGCCGGCCTCTTAGGAGCCTAGGAGCTGCCACCAGCTACCAGACCCCCATAAACTAAATCTTTTCTTTTGGTTCCCCTTTGTCCAGATCTAAAGGGTGATTGATTTACTGTTGTTTTTTTAAAGGAACCCCTCGGCTCAGTGACCCATTAACAGCAGAACTAATTCACTGAGCTACGATAACAAACTTACACCCGCAAAAGCATATTCAAGGCGAGCACGGGCTTTGAAATGTTTGTTTTCCTTAGGATCTCTGATAGATGAGGTGACAAAAGAGCTGGATGAAATTCAAAATGCAGAGCAGGACCGGGTTCTCAGGGCCTGAGAGCCGCGCACGGGCCGGCGAGGGCGACGCGGAGGCCCGGCGGGGTCACCGCTGGAGTCCCGTCCCTCCTGGGTGCTTCTTCCCCCGTGTCCCTGGTTGGCCAGGGAGCCCAGTGCGGGGCTTCTGCAGACCTTTCTGCAGAAGGACATGCTCTGTGTCTGTGCTGCCCGGGATGCCAGCCGTTAGCCACGTGTGGCCCCTGAGCCGTGAATGGGTGGGCACAGGTCTGCGATGGTGATTGAGTGGATGCGCCAGCACCGTGTGACACGTGTCTTAGGTTTGTCCCAGAGCCTTCATGATAACACAGTGAGGGAGGTGCTGTTATTGTCGCTCCCATTTCACAGATGTGGAAAATGTGCGGTCGGAGCTTCGGTAGCCTGCCCAGAGTCTCACGGAGAAACCCAGACAAGCTTGTTTACGGCAGAGTTATAAGCCATAATTGTCTGGCTGTCTCTGATACTAGGCTCGGTTGAAAGGGTCCTAAGTGCTCAGACGAAGCAGGCACCAGGCAGAGAACGGGGGCGAACCTAACTGGGCAACAGGAGAGGATGTCACATTGCCCGGACAGACAGAGGGGCAGCAGCCTGGTCCCTCCTTCCTGAAGATGATGGGCATGGGGGCCACAAGTCCCGGGGCCTCCTCGAGGGCGTGGTAGGGGTCAGGGCCTTCGAATGTGCACACATGCTTTGGCCCAGCTGCCCAGTATCTAAGGAAATAATTTGGTTGATGGGTTTAAAGACTTAGTCATAAGAATGCTCTGAGCAAGATTCATTCTCTGAATATTAATTAGGCGTTTACTATCTGCCAGGCATAGAAGGAGAATGCTTATATGTGTGAAAAATTAGAAACAGCTTACAACTCCAAAGGGAATGGATGGCTGGAATAAGTCACAAGGCATCCATATGATACGACATTGGCCAGGACAGATGATGTGGAAGACCGTGGAGGGGTGCAGACAAGGAGAGTGTCCGCGTGGTGGCTCAGAGCGTGAGGTTTGGGGCGTGGGGACTGAACCTGAATCCTCCGTGCCCTAACCTCTGACCCAAGCAAGTTCCGTCTCCTCCCTGAGCCTCAGTTACTTCATCAACACCACAGAGAATCATCCCACTTACGCTGTGTGATCGGTGCCAACATCCAGATGACAGGCTTAGTGTCATAACTTGTGCTCAGTCAGTGACAATTATTGGATCGTTTATGAGTTATTTAATGTGGAAAGGGCCACACAGTTGCAGTCTTCTGTAGAGAGTGAAACCGTGTGTGTGTATGTGTGTATAGGTTTGTGATGACGAGAATTTTACCTTTCGATATCCATATCCATATCCATGTCCATGTCCATATACCCGTATACTAAATATTGATTCTGTTATCTCGAGGTAATGAGTTTAGGGTGCTATTTATTTCTCTGTAACTTTTTTCTGCCATGTTCCACATGTACAGTGAATATCTGGAACGACCTTACTCATTCATTGTGGCTACAATCTTAGTCATTATCATTATTGTTAAAACAGCAAACAGGGAGGGACTTCCACAAAAGGCAACTCAGTTACCCACACACCAGACCTGAGTCCACTTCCTGAATGCTGTCCTCAGCTTTGGGGGTCACCTCATCACTCCCTCTTTCACGGTGGGTGAAGGCGAGGCTGTCAGGGGTCAGCATCTCGCCCCCAGTTCCATAGGCAGTGGAGAGACCACATCCGTGCCCCACACTTCCATGCTCTGTGGCCTCCTGGCCACAAATAGAAACAAGTTCTTGGGAACAGATTCTGTTAGCAAGCTCAGGGCACCCCATCAACATCATGGGACTGGTCAGAGTCCCAGCAGGATGACATCCCCAGATTCCTTTCTGCTAGGGGACAGGATGGGGACAGAGAACAAGATGTGCTGGCTGGTCCTGAGACCAGGGTAAAGTGACCACAGATGTCAGGAGGGGAGGCACGTGGCAATGGGAAGCCAGACATTAGCTCATGGAGACAGAGCATTTGTGATCAGGGGAAATCCTTTGGTACCTCTCCCAAGACGCAGAGCAGCTCAGGCTGTAAGCTGTGTGCCCTGGGACAGACTCTGTTTTCTGACTTCAGCTCTACGTTTTGGATGCATTTCTGTCCTCCTACCAGGTTCGATCACCCATCCATGTTTCAAATTATTTTTTACTGACATACATGTAATTGGCTAATTGTTAAGTTATAAAAGGTAAATATGCTTATTCGGGGATAAAAGAAACAAATCAGAGGATATAGAGGGGAAAATGCTGTGTTCCTTCTCCATTCATCTGGATAACTGCTTTCTATGCTCCAGTTCACCGAGCGCTCCCACAATGTGGCGGGGCTGATTTAAATACCCCCGATTTGTACAGCAGGGATCTGGGATTTAGAGCAACTTCCTTTATTTGGAAATGACTGATGAGGATTCTGTTCTATGCCTATGCCTGAGGTACACAGCCATTTCCTTATGAAGAGAGAGGTGTGCTATTCCTGATATTTTTACTATTGTAAATGATACTTTAAAAATCCCTGTACATATATTGCTCTGTGTTTGTTCATGAATATCAGTAGATACTGAATTTCTAAATGTTATATTGCTAGAACAAAGAGAAGGAATATTTTACCTGCTGTTTATTTGTCTGTTTCCTGCTTCCAGTTTTCTAACACACAAACACACACACACACAAACACACACACACGCATACATGCACACACACGCACCCTTCCAAGTCTTGTGGCATAGAGCATTTACTATACGTTTATCATGGTTCTTGGTGTTTCCCTCCCTTTAGCCCGTAGCTGTGTTTTGAGATGGCCACTTAACCATCATTATCTTCACTTCACAATGGCGAAAGGAGGCGCCGAGGGCACGACCTCACTTGCCCATCTGACTGCACATCCTGCCTGTGTGGATCTAATGATACCACCTGAGCCATCCTGTCTCTAGCTTATCCAGTTGCTTTCCCACGGTTTTCAGGATACATGGCAAAGTTCATAATAAGAAAGAAAATTGTCCCCACTGGTCTGGCCCTTCTCAGACTGAGATGTTGGAACTCCATTCGCCAGGCAGTGGGGAGCCATAGAGTGTTTGGTATCCAAGGAGGAATCAGAGCTTGAGAGAGAGTCACGCCAGCCGTTCTTTTACAGAGCTTGCGAAGGGACGCGAGACTCTTCCGCTTCCTTCGGAAAGCGAGACACTTCCCCGGGGTGCTGGGGAGGAGACTGACAAAAATGACTAAGGGGATCAGAGGCAGCTTCTGTGTGTAACCTCTTCAAACCCCTGTCCTTCCCCCAAGCTGGATTTCAAGGTCACGTCCAACTGCCCAGCACCTGGCCAAACTTAGTGAGTTTATGCTTGAGGATCCCCAGTGGTGGGTTTATTTTAAGATCTGGCAAGCCCCGTGCTCCTCCGTCTGGGGCCCAGCTGCGGAAACCCTGACCAGGAGGACACCCCTGGAAATGGTGTTTTGGGAAACCGAGCCAAAACGGTGCCTCGGCCTGCCCCTGGGGCAGCTGAATAAAGCTGCTGAAGGAAGAAACAGGAGGCAAGCTTCTTCCTGGGGGCTGAGCCCTGGTTCGCTTCTTTCCGTCCACATCGTAGAAAAGGGGACGTAGGATCAAACGTCAGGACATCTAAAGACTCAGGGGATTGTACTCTAGCCCCTCAGACTCAGGCTCAACTCCGATTTTTATTTTTATTCTGTCCTCACCCGAGGACATTGTTGCATTTATCTTCACATAGAGCAGGAGGGAGAGAGGGAGGAAGTGAGAGAGAAACATCAATGTGAGAGAGACACATCGACTGGTCACCACCCACACGACCCCAACTGGGGCCGGGACAAACTGCAACTGAGGTACATGCCCTTAGTGGGAACCGAACCCGGGTCTCTCTGGTCCGCGGGCCAATGCTTTAACCGCTGAGCCAAACCGGCCAGGGCTCAACTCCTACTTATCATCACCGGCAGGCTGCTTGACCCACACAAAGTCCTGTTTATGCTCAGAAGGAAGTTCTCGTATTGATTAGAAGCCTGGCCTTGGAGTCCAGATTGCCTGGGTTCGAATCTCAGATTTGTGTCTAGCTCTGTGATCTTAAAAATGTTCCTGGAGCCCTCTCAGCCTCAATTCCCGCCTCTGTCAAATGGAGAAAATCATGGTATTTATTCCAAAAATAGTGGGAGAGTTCAGTGTGTTCAAAGCACAGGGCACCCTGCGTGGCTCAGACTGAGCACGCGATAAAGTCCCCATCAGGACCGTGCAGAAGGTCCCATGGTCCTCGTGTTCCCAGCATAGACCTCCGGCCTCGGTGGTCTTACAGCTCCAAGCCCTGCCGCCTTCCACACTTCTTTCCCCGTCTTAGCCATTCAGTCTGGATGACCTCAGCTCCCTCCTTCAGAAGCCTCTTGGGTGCATTCTCCTTCCCCAACGTACTGTCTCCTAAGGTCCTCAGTGGTCGGCATCACAGACGTCAGCGGCCTTGTAGCCACCTGGACCCACTTTGTAACTAGAGTGGCAGCTCCTCGAGGGCGGGAGTGATTTCAGTTTCACCGTTCTGTGGCCCTTGGCACAGAGCAGAGAATGTGTCCCAGAAGCTCAGAAGGTTTGCTCCAAGGACGATCACTGCATCAGTAAATAGCAGAACGAATGAATGAGTGGACGGACGAATGAATGAGTGGAGGACAGAATGAAAGGACGGGGGAGTACACAAAGGAACGGTGAATGAGTGAATTCACCAGTAAGTGAACGAATGAACGAATGAATGAGAGTCAGGGAATGAGGGAGGGAACTGGTAAGGAGATGCATGACTTACCGACCAGCAGCTTTGGGCTCATGGGAAGCAGCCTGTCTTGCCCTTGTCCTTAGCCGTGACCTCTGGGCTGTTCCCTCTCAGTCTCAGAGGTGCTGTTCTGGTTCCGCCCACCCTCCCCTTCCCCGTGTTCCCCCTCACCTGTCTCCAGAAGTGATGACTACGCTAATTTGTTCACAGACCATTAACTCTTGAGAGCTGGGAGAGGCCAGCTCTGAGTTGGCAAGGGCTGGGGCGCTGGCTGCCAGGCCTGCAGGAGACGTCACAGTTCCCTCGCATGACCGCCCCTGCAGCCCAGCTCTTCTCTCCCCCTCTGCGCCCTTCCAGATGACGACTGCACGGACTCCTTCACGCCCAATCAAGTCGCCAGAATGCACTGCTACCTGGACCTGGTGTACCAGAGCTGGCAGCCCTCCAAGAGGCCGGCGCCTGTCGCCCTCGCCCCCCAGATTGTGGGCCACACCACTGACTCCGTGACGCTGGAGTGGTTCCCGCCAATCGATGGCCACTTCTTTGAAAGGTGAGCATGGCCTGTGAAGCATTGATTCCTCTCGCTCTTGCCAAGAAGAGGGACACGAGGGAGGGACGGGAGACTGGGAGAGGTTTAGCTGTATTCTTTGTCTCCGCTCTTGTTCGGCGGGTGCCCCCAGCACCTAACACAGTGACTGGTCCATGGAGGCACATGGTAAACCTAAAGGTCAAGGGATACTGAGCGATGGCTAATAGAAATGAATACGCGATAAAACATATTTTAAGTGAATGCAATGAATGTTCAGCCTTCTTTTAGTATTAAAAACATGGAAACCTTTATTAGAACCTCCTCTGGGATGAGGTGCTGGTCTCATGTCCAGGGCTCAGGGCTTGAAATTGGCGAACACCTTCATAGAAGTATATGTGAAGGTGTATATATGTTTATGTATATATTCAAACCTTACGCATTAGTACACATGCATATATATATGTAACATAGATATGTGCATATATCTATGTATCTATATATAATCTTAGACTGTGTTCAGTGTTTCTTTGTAGAATGAAAGGTAGAATTTTTAAAAGATGAGGAATGATAAGCTGAGGCACAGACCACCTGGGTCTGCTCCCCTGTCATTGACTAGCGGTGTGGCTCTGGACTTGTCATTTCCCCTCCCTGAGCCTTATTCTCTTCCCCTGAGAAGTGGATCTCATGATGCCTTCGTGGCCTGAGGTGGAGACAGTTTCTCGTGGTGCCTTTTAGTGTTGAGACCCACGCAGGGATTCAAGCTCTAACGGAACCAGATGTTAACGGTCATGAAACGGACTCAGATGTTGACATCTATTTTGGGACTTAGCTATAACTAAGGACAGATTTGTATATCACAGCTCCCCTCTCCCCAAGCTCTTCTTGGGGATATTTACCCAGTAATGATGATATAACACTGATGCTGCGACAATAATAACCCGCTACTCATTAATTAATGCTACTCTGTGGTTGTGGTTACTTATCAAGTGCTTACTCTGTGCTGGATTCTGTACTGAACGCTTTGTATACAGAGTCTCATTTACTCTTCCCGGGGACTGTAAAAGGGAGATCATCTTCCCCTTCTGCCAGATGAGACGCGAGCTGGAGCTTGAAGAGGCTGAGCGAGTGGACTCAGAGCCCCTAGAAGTGCTGGGGGCTGGGTTCCACGCACATTCGCAACGTCTGGTCTCAGACTCTCCCGTGTGTCCATGAAGTTATTCCAAAACTTGAGTTATGGAGGAAGTGTGTGTGTGTGTGTGTGTGTGTGCATTTTGTTCTCATGTTTATAAAAATACATTAGATCGTGGCACCACATTAAATGTGGGCTCTGATTTTCCATCCTATCACCAGTCCCTGAATCTAGAACCTTCCCTGGGCAGCTGGGGGAAATGACCACGGGGAGGACAGGCGCTCCCTCCGCCTCTGCAGACACCCTCCCTGGAGCTGCCCCACCGCCCTCACGGGAGCTCGGAGCTGCTGTGGGAACCTCACGTGGCACGTGGCACGTGGCAGAGCAGAGCAGGCTGTCCAGCAGCCCACCGATTTATTTATTTTTTCTGGGGCAATGAGACGTATCAGACTTTCTGGTCAAGCCTTGGCCTCGCTTCCACTTCAAAATGGAAGTTTTGTAAATGAAGCTTCCTGTGTATGTATTCAATTTGTATTTCATAAAGCAGTTATTGTCCATTAAATAAATACCATCTGATTGTTGGAAACCTATTGGAGGGTTAATTGTTGTGTAATGAGATATGTCTCTATTACACAGTACCCTTAGCTTCAATCAATATGTTTTTAATAACTGATAGTCGGTTGGTATTATAGGCTCATACAATAGCTATTCTGTTCAGTCTAAGATTTCATAACAGAGTTATCATATGTTAAATTAAAACCGACATTTTAGAAACATGTCTAATTAGGGTTAACAGCTATGTAGATCACAGTCTATGGCTGAAGGAAGTTAGTCCACAAGTTCAATCCATTGTTGTAAAGAAATGGAACTATGTGTATCACTCGCCCGTACACACAGAGTTTATATTCCTACAAATTGGCTTAGTTCAAAGTACACACACCATGTCAGGTTTGTGTCCTGAGCTTCACCGCTCCCAGCGCCTGGGACCTTGGTCAAGTGGTCTCACCTCTCGGAGTCACTCTGACCCTCTGATCGTCCATAACACGATGCTAAGCGTGCCCACTTCACCTGGTTTTTGGGGGGAATTCAACAAGATGACCTCTGGGATATGCCCAGCACACACACCCTACGTGCAGAACATATTAGCTCCCATATTGTACAAAGTTCTCCAGAGCGATTTAGCTACTTGAAAATGTTCTTTCCCTGCAGAATCTCTGGTGTTTTCCACTACATCCATCAATGCCAACCTCTCGCCCCCAGCCCTCCTCCTGTCCTCCTGCTGTTCCTCACATCTGTGGTCTCAGAGAATACAGGGTTTTCCTTAAAAAAACACCCCCCCGACCCCCCCACAGCCAGTGTCCTCACACATGGGCAACTGAATAAATAATCCAGGGCCACCTCCAGCTTTTCTAACTCCTTTATTTCTATCTGCCTTGCACACATGTGTTGCCTGGATGGTTTCCGTTCTCTGAACAACTGGCTGGGGCGTGTTGGAGAAAGCACTGGACTGAGAACCAGGAGACCTGGGTGTGGAGTCTTTGCGACCTCAGCCAGGCTCTGTCCCTCAGCCTGTGTTCTGATCTGTATGCCACAGGGTTCTAGCCTTTCTCAGCCAGGTTCTCCTCTCAAATCCCAGAATAAAGAAAATGACTGGAGTAACTGTTTTCTCAAACCTCCCAAGGGTGGTGCGTAACTAGTGCCGTTCTAGACGCCCAAGAGAGACGTTAATTCATTATATGCTGGGGATGCCTTAGCGAATCACTGTCCAGCAGCACGTTTTGCAATACTGGGAGTGTTCTCTGTCTGTGCCACGGAGCACTTGAAGTGTGACAGATGTGACAGAGGAACTGGGTTTCTGAATTTATTAAATTTTAATTAGTTTCCATGTAAATAGCCTCATGTGGCTGGTGGCTGCCATATCGGATGGCATAGACTTGGAGCATAAACACTGACTCTCACGGTCCCCAGATACAAAAGAGGATCTCATTCAGCATTAGAATCCTGTATGTCTATGATTTCAGTGTGTGTGTGTGTGTGTGTGTGCGCGCGCGCCCATAAAAATCAAATAAATGCCAAAGGTAAGAAACACGTATCATACACTCCATAGATAAATAGGTCATTGCCTGATTTTGGTAAAGGCCACCTAGAGTCTGTAACTTTTTAAGCTATGGCCTTGGGATGCTAACTTTATACTCATAAACCCTGGTTTCCTAGTCGGTGAAATGGGTACTGGCCCTTGGATGGTCAGTATCCGGTACTTGTGCAGCACTGGCCACCCGAAGCTGTTCAGCGACTGTCCGCTGAATGTAGGTGAGCCAAGGAAGGACCGTGTGAATCGACGACTGACCATGAGGGAAGGCACTTCCTGGAGCTCCGTGGAAACCAGGCACATTACTGTCAGGTGTATGATGGTTCATTCACTCAGCCAAGTATTTAGTAGAAACCTAGGATGTGTGAAGAACTCAGTGAAGTGCAGGTGACTATATGAATACAATCAGGAAAAAATAATGAAAGAAACAGGCTCAATAGCCATTAAGGTTACTGTGGTTCCTGAGTCTATCCCAGGACGTTTGTAGGCTCGTTGTCATTGTACAGCCTCTCGTGAGAAGCAGGGCTGTTGGGCGTGATGGTGGTCACTGCAACAGAACTCTGCCCCATAGCGGTGCTGAAAGGTCTCTTTCTTCATTCCTCTTCCATTGCCTATAAGTGTATTTGTATAACTGTTATTCTTGCTAGTCTAGGAGTAACTCATACGCATTCAAAATATATAGAAAACTCAGAAAGCCAGGAGGAATAGAAATAGGGGTGGGGGCTCATCCTGTGTTTCAATACCTGGAAATTACTTCCGATAATATTTTGTCACGTTAAGGTTATTTGAACAGCATTACAATGCTGGCCATAGATTGAGTTTTGAGTATGACTTCAGTTGGCGATAGATTCTGTTTGGAATATGCCTTTTTCACTTAACATCATAGCTTACCTTTTCCATGACATTTCATAATCTTTTGTGTGTGTGTCCTTTTTTATTTTTTGGTACGTGCCCCTAGCGGGAACCGAACCCAGGACTCTCTCTGGTCCACAGGCCGATGCTCCAACCACTGAGCCAGACTGGCCAGGGCAACATTTCATAATCTTTATACATATGTTTGGAGTAACTGCTTATCATTCCACTGAGTAGATCAACCTTAGGTTATTTCATCGTTCTCCTATCTCTGAATATGAGTGTGCCTTTTAAACTTTCTACCTATGTGTGGTTTTATATTCACAATGATAAAGCTGAGGATGTAAAATCTGAAATTGGAGGCTCTAGACTAGGTTAGTCATGAATCTTAGCAACATGTCTGACTGGTTCGTATGTATCCATCTGTCCATCCATCCAGCTACACGTGTTGACCACCGTATCAGCAGATAAGCAGGGGCGTGGTCAGATCCAGGCTCAGGGGTCAGCTCCCCGGCAGCCATGGGGAGGAGGCCTAGGGAGCACCAGCAGACTGTGGTGTCCACAGCACACTCTTCCTCACCATGTCAGCTCAGGGGCCACAGCGCTACCCTGCGAAGCAAGCCCTAAGGCTTGAGACAGGGCCCCCCGCTGTGCTCTTGCAGGAAGCCAAGGGAGGGGCCTTCTAGGACTGATCAAAGAGCTATTGGCAGGATCACTGCGTTTTGAGAAATAATGGTTTGGGCTGGCACATTGCTGGGCATCTTTCTTCCCTTTCCAGTTCCTTTGCAGTGGTCGCTGAGATGTGTGGAGTTTTGGGTCCACACGAGCCCATGAGGGCTCGTCTCTCTCCCTTCCTGGCATCTGCCTCCTAAACATATGCCAAGTCTGGAGAACAAGTCGGATCCCAGAGGCTGTTGTGGCTAAAGGGGGTTTGGACCCAGATACAAAAGACAGTGAGACGGTAGGGGAAGCCACCGTAATAGTCCACATCTGGGGCCGGTCCCTTTGCGGGATTGGCTGGCCCCGTGGAAAGCTGCTGAAAGGAACGAGACGGCTTGGTGAGGAAACCGCTTTTGAACGTTAAACCAAGCAGTGACTCATCCATCCCGGCCTGCGAGCTTCTCTAGCTGTCTTCTAGTGCGCCCGCTCGTGTTCAGAGGGAGCAGCCAAACCACACCTCCTTCCTGTTTAATACCTGGGACACAGGAGGGTGCCTGGCCCGTGGCACGCAGCTGGTAAATATGGGTAAAAGAAGAACAGTTGTGGTCAAATGGGGCAACAGGTTTTCTCACGACCACACATCAGAGCCTCGGTGGAGGTTTGCGTGGCTGATGAATCAGGACGCTGCAGGTCGTGAGCGAGCCTCTGGCCTGTTGATTCCGTGCTCCTTGCAGTGAAAGGGGTCTGTCTGCCGTCAGAGGGGAAGCCGGGCGGCGGGGAGGACTTTCCATTACAGTCATGTTCTGGAAGTTCTGGCGTGCCTAGGGAGGAAATTGAGTAACATAAAATAGCTCTGTCCTCTGCCCTGTGACCTTTGGCCTTGTGGGGTCAGGGGTTCATTCAACTGTTCCTAAGTCGGTGCATTTTCCTTCTTTCCTTGGCCTCCTAGAGATTTGGGATCAGCATGTGACCTTTGCCTGGAAGGAAGAATCCTGGTGCAGTACGCTTTCAACGCCTCCTCCCCGATGCCCTGTGGCCCGTCAGGACACTGGAGTCCCCGGGAGGCAGAAGGTAAGCCAGCCTGGACGCTCATTGACAGGTTGGGTGTACAAAGAACAACTCTTTCCATACACCTGGGGTTTTATGATTTCAGAGGTCTTTTCCACATACCATCTTACTTGCTTTTAAGATTGCCCTGCATGGCGAGTATTTAAATTTTTTTCAGTTTCTGACCTTTTATCCAGCCTTATTGAGATATAACTAAAATATAACATTATGTAATTTGAAGGCTTATGACGTCATGATTGTATGCATGTAGATATCACAGAGCGATCGCCACATAAGGATGCACGTAGACATCACAGATGATCGCCACAGTAAGGATGCACGTAGACATCACAGAGCGATCACCACAGTAAGGATGCACGTGGACATCATGGATGATCACCACAGTAAGGATGCACATAGATATCACAGATGATCACCACAGTAAGGATGCACATAGATATCACAGATGATCACCACAGTAAGGATGCACGTGGACATCACGGAGCAATCACCACAGTAAGGAAGCACGTAGACATCGCAGATGATCGCCACAGTAAGGATGCAGGTAGACATCACGGAGCAATCACCACAGTAAGGATGCATGTAGACATCGCAGATGATCGCCACAGTAAGGATGCACATAGACATCGCAGATGATCGCCACAGTAAGGATGCATGTAGACATCGCAGATGATCACCACAATAAGGATGCACGTAGACATCGCAGATGATCGCCACAGTAAGGACGCACATAGACATCGCAGATGATCACCACAGTAAGGATGCCCATAGACATCGCAGATGATCGCCACAGTAAGGATGCACGTAGACATCACAGATGATCGCCACAGTAAGGATGCGTGTAGACATCACAGAGCGATCACCACAGTAAGGATGCACATAGACATCGCAGATGATCGCCACAGTAAGGATGCATGTAGACATCGCAGATGATCACCACAATAAGGATGCACGTAGACATCGCAGATGATCGCCACAGTAAGGACGCACATAGACATCGCAGATGATCGCCACAGTAAGGATGCACGTAGACATCACAGATGATCGCCACAGTAAGGATGCATGTAGACATCACAGAGCGATCACCACAGTAAGGATGCACGTAGACATCACAGATGATCGCCACAGTAAGGATGCACATAGACATCACAGATGATCGCCACAGTAAGGATGCACATAGACATCGCAGATGATCGCCACAGTAAGGATGTGCACTAGACATCAGCAGATGATCGCCACAGTTAAGGATGCACAGAGACATCACAGATGATCAGCCACAGTAAGGATGCACATAGACATCAGCAGATGAGTCTGCCACAGTAAGGATGCATGTAGACAGCGCAGATGATTCACCACAAGTAAGGATGCACATAGACATCAGCAGATGATCGCCACAGTAAATGATGCACAGTAGACATCAGCAGATGATCCGCCACAGTAAGGCATGGCACATAGACATCACAGATGATCACCACAGTAAGGATGCACGTAGACATCGCAGATGATCGCCACAGTAAGGATGCACGTAGACATCGCAGATGATCGCCACAGTAAGGATGCACATAGACATCACAGATGATCGCCACAGTAAGGATGCACGTGGACATCACGGATGTTCACCACAGTAAGGATGCGTGTAGACATCACGGATGTTCACCACAGTAAGGATGCACGTGGACATCACGGATGTTCACCACAGTAAGGATGCGTGTAGACGTCACGGATGGTCACCACAGTAAGGATGCGTGTAGACATCTCAGATGATAGCATGCATTGCCTCGCAGAGTTACCTTTTAGTGAGAGAGCAGTTAAGAGCTACTCTTGGCAACAGTTTGGTATTGCTAACTACAGTCACCACATTGCACATGAGCACCTCAGGACGTTTTCATCTTACAACTGGAAGTCTGTGCCCTTTGCCCAACCTCAACGCTAGTGCTCATGCTGTCATTCAGCGCATGTCCTTTGAGCATCCGCACCTCCTAGGCATATCATCCACTGTACATGAGAGGAAACCAAGGCACACACCTGACAAAGACACAGTAGGTGTGTGTTTACAGCCATGCTTCCAGACCCCGACAAGCTGTGGTACAAACAAGGTCGCCTTGGAATCAAAATGCATATTTGGGGGCTTCAAGACCTCTGTCATCTTTGATTATTTTTCAGTTATTCCTGGGAATACCCAGGGCATTATCACATGCGTTGTTACTTTTTCCAGTTCCTGCCATGTGCCCTTCTTTTGGGGACCCACTGATCTGCAAGACCCTTGCGGGAAGCACATTATGATTGCCTCTGTTATGGGTTCCACCCAGAACCAGACCCTTCCCTGCGCAGGGGGTCTCCCCAGCCCCCTGGGGGCCAGATCTCCATGTTCTCTCATGGTACCGTTCCCTGCCAGACTCACTTGGATTTCCATAGGAATTAAGGGGTGCCTTTGCCCACTGTTTTTTTTTTTTGCACTGTGTCCCTGAAGCAGGGTTGCTTGGAACATTGAGACTCTCGGGGACTGTCGCCTGTCCATGTTCCTCCTGCAGTTCTCTTACTTCAGGGCTCTGATCTAGTCCCCGAAGCCAGGCCCGAGAGGGACACCCCCTATTTTCTTCTCAGGCTTCCGCCTCCCCCTCCCTCGCAGACTTACACTTAGAACGCCCGTCCCCTGCCCCTCTTGCTCCTGGGCAAGTCAGCTCAGGCCAGCAGTCCCTGGGGGGGGACACCCGTCTACCAGAGGGAGCAGGGTCTCATTCCTCATCGAGGTTCAGTGAGAACGCCTCTGTTTTCCTCTGTATTTTTAGAAAGAAGGTTGACAAGAAAAAGCCCGAGATAGAATAAAGCAAGGCAGAGGGATCAGAGAGGCAAGTGAAGGAGAAAACTGACAACACTATACTTCATCTTCTAAAGTAGCTTAAAATAAAATGAGCGTCGAACTCGGGAACTCTAAACAAGCCCATCTGGAATGTAAAGCGAGAGGGGTGTCTGGAGAATCCCTCCATTCGGCCTCGCAGTCACAGGCCCTTGGACTTTGAAGGGATGCGTGGGGTCAGGCAGCTCGGGTCCTCGCCCACGCAGGAAGCCCCCCGCTCCCTCCCTCGCGGACGCTGTCCTCGCCCCAGCTCCTTTAGTTCTTGGCCTTTCTGTTCTGGCTCCATCTGTTGGAAAGTCCTTCCTGGCTTTTCCTCCCAAACCCCACCCATGCTGGGTTCTCTCAGAAGACAGCCTGTATCTCTGTGGGACGACAGACCAGTCGCGTCGATGACCCTCACAGGAGCTGTGGGCCAGGCACCGTGCTGGGCACTGGGCAAGGCCGAGCTGGCCACAGTAGGGGAGTCAGAGAAGAAAACGGGTGGGCACCGTCCAGTGTGATGAGGCCTATGCTAGCAAGGACGGGGCACCGGGGGACCAAGAGAAAGGGGGCCTCTCCCCGAGCCGGAGACTGGGGCTTTCCTGGGAAATGTTATCACACAGCGAGCACGGCGCATTGGAAACCGGGTCCACTTAGCAGTGATTTCCTCAGGTGAGCTGAGGATGTGTGTGCTTAGGTTCCTCAAAGTCTAAAATCACTGTCGTCATAACACCACGACGTGACGTACCCTTTGCCGTCACTCTCGCTGACGGAGAGCGTTCCCGTCGCTGGTACCGTGCGTGGTTACCACTGTGATAGGAGCGCACGCGCATGTGTGCGCCTGTTCTCCGGCGTCTGTTTCATTCACGGTGCCCTAAGGCTGATAGACGTGACCCACCCAAACAAAGGCTCTCGGATCAGGGGGCAAGAGCTCAGCTGGGTTGGGAGCAGAAAGCACGGTGTGCAGTGGATGGAGGGTCGACTGGGTGGGGGACAGAACAACCAGGCGAGGATGGTTTGGGGTCCTACTGAGGGCAGCAGGGAGATACCACGGGCCTTGTCGGGTCTGGGACGCGGTGAGGTGTGCATGTTCCCCAGGTTGCTGGGATGCTCTGTGGAGAAGGGGGGCCGTGGGGAGCGTGCTGGCGGAAGAGGGCACAGCCAGGTGTCTGGTGCAGGGACCCGGGAGAGGCGCGGGGTGGCCCGGATGAGGTCGGCCGCAGGGAGAAAGGAGAGAAGTCAGTGAAGTGGAGAGAGATTTGGGAGGTAGGCTCAGCAGGACCCTCCCCCGAGACGTCTCTGGCTAAAATCATCTTGGTGTGTTCTACCATTTGTGTGAATGAAATAATTTCCAGACATCTCCCCACACCTCCATCCAACCCAACCGCTGATTGGTTCCGTCTGCTCCCGGGGTGTCCCTGACCCTCTTAGAGCCCGACAGGCAGAAACGGGTTCAGTGGAGCGCTGAGCGCCCCGGGTCCCCAGGCTGACTCGGGCCTCCCAGGAGCCCCAGCAGCCCCGGGTTTCCCTTCTGGATATGTAAATTTAGTCCGTGCAGGCCAGGAAAAGACACTGTTCTTTTTTTAGCGCATCCTATTACAGGCTCTGTGATCCCTTTGGCTCGGGCTCTTTTTAATATCCTTGAAGAAATAAACTTTTCCATGAGCCAAACTCTGTAATTTATTTCTCAACTCATTTTCATCCTATTTATCTTTGCGTGTTTAAGTTTTTGGACTTCCCAAACTAACATAAAACTCCCAAATCCATGAGCGATGCCAGACGGATCTGTGGGGTTGGGGAAAGAGCATGAGGTGGGGGTGGGGCGGTAGAGCAGACCAACCCTGGTTCCCGCCTGTCCGTCGGTGTGCTCTGTGCCCTGGCCGAGTCCCTTCGCGTCTCTGAAGACAGCATCCTCCCCACAGCACGGATGTCCTTCCCACCTCTTATGTCCAGGCCATTGTCATTTTGTTTTATTTAAATGCATGTTAACAAAATAGAAGATTCTCCATGTAACATATTTATTTATTTATTTATTTATTTATTTATTTATTTATTTATTTTTTTATCCTCACCCGAGGACATTTTTCCATTTTTTGTACAGACAGAGTGGGAGGGAGAGAGAGGAAGAGAGAGAGGGAAACATGATGTGAAAGGGACACATCGAGTGGCTGCCACCTGCACGACCAACCAGGGCCGGGGACAAACTACAACCGAGGTACATGCCCTTAGCGGGAACCGAACCCGGGTCTCTCCGGACCGCAGGCCGACGCTCTAACCGCTGAGCCAAACCGGCCAGGGCTGTAACATATTTATTGAATAGCCATCACGCGTTATTAACTCCACTCCATGAACTTCAGGGAAATACAGTTGCAGGAATTCTTGCTTTTGTCCACCGAAAGGGGTTGTCATCCAGAGAAACCCTGTTTCCCGATCTCTTTAGCAAAATCTGTATTTCATAGATGAATTTCTTCTGAGGTATGCAACACCACGCTACATTGTAGCCCAGGGGTCCAATGGCTAGATCTTGTGGACTGGGATCCCCATTAAGGTTACTTATGCCCGCACAAGAGACATTGTGAGCGTCGGATTTTCCGTGGGAGGTGCGCACGGGGCGCTCATTCCGTTTTCTATGTGCGGGAGCCTTTCCCCCTGTTTCTGCCTCGAATGTATCAGGTGCACTGAAATATTCATCTGGAAAAAGCTTGTCTGCACGTTTTTATAAGTGTATTTGTGTCAACACCTGCAGGGTCTATTCACATAAATATGGAATAGATGCCTGTGTAGATCTTCATAAATGTACGTTTAAATCAGCATACGTATGTAGAAATATATTTTACATGCACAGTTGGCCTCATTTCTAGCGGGCAGCTTCTATAAACATGGGACATTTCCCGTAGTCACCGTGTACAGAAGGAGATGTATTCATAGTGAAGTTACACCCTCTTTGCGCTTTTCTCGCTCCCCCTCCCTCTTTCTCTCTCCGTCTGTTCCCCTCCCTCCCTTCCTTTGATTCCTCCAGTTCTTTCCTTGTCTCCGCCCCTCTCCCTGCCTCACCTCCATCCATGTGATACGTTCTGTCTGTGTGCGTTTTCCCCTCAGGACTCGGTTTCTCCTCGCTCCTGTGATGCTGTCTTTCTCCAGGGCACAGCCATGCGTTCGTGGTCTGCACAGCACAGCCGTCTCCAAACTGGTCACTAGACTCGAAGCTCCGTGAGGGCAGAGACCATGTCTTTAGAAACCTGTTTTCCCTGGGATTCGCCAGCCCAGACACACACCAGGCATTCAATAATTATTCTTTGAATGCATGGATGGATGGGTGGATGGGACGGACACATGGATAAACAGTATCTCTGTCTCTAAACCGTGGTTTTCCCAAAAGACAACTTTCACTTGTTTGATTAAAATGTTTCAGTAGCTCCCATCTCTCTCAGTATGAAGTCCAGTTCCCTTAAAGTGGCAGGCAAGCCCCTTCATCGCCTGGGTCCCGCTTACTTTGCCAGCTTTATCGCCGGCTGTCTTCCGATGCCGTCAGAACTCACCGTCTCTGTCCGCCGTGCTCTTGGTTTGGGACGCCACCTCATCTCCAGCTCTTCCTTGCTAATTCCTCCTTACTTTTGAGAGCAGAGCTAATGTATACGCAAGCACCTATTAAATAATTCATCCCATTTGAGTTTAAAGCAACCCTGTGAGGTAGCATTACAGTAGGTGACTCACTGGGAAGCGGGATAACTGATATTTTAACCCAACTTTCATGGCTTCAAAGTCTGGCGCGCTGCCTGGACCAACAGTATCACATACTATTCTACTCCCCATCAGGGAATTACTCAGCCATCAGAGTCTCAGTTTCCTCTTCTTTAAAATGAGTTTGCTAAGACCTGCACCGTAAACAGATTGCCAGGATGAAAGGGGCCGAGGTGTGTAATGTGCCTGGCACCGTGCCTGGCACACAGAGGATGGTCACTTCACGAAGCCTGGCGTGATTTACAGCATCGCTGCCTTGTGCTCAGTGATGCTCAAGGTCCTTGTCTCCATCACGTTTGTCTCTGCTAACTGGACACGCACGAACCTTGCTAAGATTACTACTCCTGCCTGCTTACTTGAGCCAGAATGACCAGGCTCACCTTCCTGTCCTTTCGAAGCCCCCTCTCTTGATGAACAGGAAACCAGAGAGAAAGCATCAGCCAAATAGATTGGTCATCTTGGCTGTCCTGTGGCTCCTACCACGGATGGTCGTTTTCTCCCAGGAAGGGAGGTAGACCGCTCCACCCACTGCCAATACCCGGGCGCCCACCATCACGCAGCAGGCTTCCCAATCCCGTGGGGCAGTCACTTCGTTTTCAGATTGATATTACCAAGACAGAAGATTCTTTGTTTAACATACACGAACTGAGAATCCACTCTTTTCACTATCTTTGTATGAAGCAAAGACTATCTGGTACGAAGTGAAACGGAGCTACAAAAACAGAGGCAAACATGATAACAGTCCTGCAGGACTGTGACGACGCGCAGATGCAGTAATTCACGAATGGCTTTGGAATGCGCTTCGTATACATTAAAACCCTGCCCTCGGTAATGCTGATGGAAGAATAAGCGATAGGTGTGTCAACACCCCACAAAGTCAAGAGAATCGGGAACTCAGAGGGATGGAGAGGAGTTGGCAAGGAAGGCTGCGGAGGGGAAGCCTTGGACTTAAATTTCTGAGTGCTTCTAGCCAGCATTTGCTGCAGCAGATGAGCGGACCTAGCCAAGGGGCGTTGAGGGGCTCCTAGAGCTGTCCATCTCTCTTTGTTCTGATGTGTTACACTGAAACAGTCTCCCGGAATTTTTCATATGCCCCTCTTTCTTCTCTTTTCCTCTTCTCCCCTCCATCTCCACCTGGTGTTTTCTCTCTTCTCCCTTGGCGACAAGAGACAAGGAGATCGGAGGCACTGACAACCTTCCCCGGAATAGGTTTTCCACCCCAGATGGCTTTCTGGTTTTCGTGTGGCCATGATTCCAAACCTTTTCTGACAAATACTGCTTTTTCCCTTTTGCTTTAGAAATGTCCAGCATCCACTTTCTCCACCCACCACTGATGCTAAAGGGCGGGGGGTTGTGGCAGATAGAACAGCTTAAGATCCTCCATCCTACCCTCCCACCTCATCTGTATCTTTTGCTAGACTCCCTGAAACAAGGTCGAGCCTGTCACGACACTGAGTCCTGGTTGCTGTCCTCAGCAGCGTGAAGGAGAACTGTGTGAGGGTCTAGGACTAATGATCTCAGTGGAGAAAAATTCAGAAGTCGCTGTGGTCTGAGATCAGTGGGGATGAGGCATTGTCTCCAAGAAGAAAAAGCAGAAGAATCTCTCCTTCCTTCCCCCACCTCCTCACCCAACCCGCCCCTCCCTGAGTCAGACTGGTCAGAGCATGGGAGGCTCCAGGGGACGAATGACCTCATGGGAGAAGGGGAGGAGGAGAGATAAGATGGCCCCCCGGCTGCCTTCCAGCTCTGTCCTTCATGGTTCTAGACAGTTTCCTCCCAGAATCCTCAGTCCAGGGGGCAGAAGCTATCCGTGCCCACCTCCTCTTTGCAGAGACTTTCTGGCCCGTCTGTCATGCCAAGAAGGTTGCACCAAAAACAGCCCCATGGGAATTCTAGTTTATTTTGGTGGCTCCTGTCTCCAGGCGTGAAAACGATGGGTCTGAACTTCCAGAAGGGCCAACACCAGCTCCTCTTGCTGACCTGCACACTTCTAGCTGTGAGACCTGGGTCATTTCCCTCTGTATTCTCTCACCTCTGAGATGAGTCCTTAAACAAGGTGATGGGACACAATAGGTGTCTGACAAACGTTTGTCCCTTTCTTCTTTCCATCCTGGACTCGAGGCCTGCAAGAGGGTTAAAACTTTGGGCATCAATTCAGCAGTAAGACACTTGAGTAGTCTTTTTTTAAATCCTCACCCAAGGATACTTTTCCATTTACCTTCAGATAGAGTGGGAGGGAGGGAGAGAAAGAGCAAAACATCCATGTGAGACAGACACACCAATCAGTTGCCTCCCACACGACCCTGCCCAGGGCCAGCAATTGAACCGCAACCGAGGTACGTGCCCTTGACCAGAATCGAACCTGCGACTCTTTGGTTTGCAGGCCAACGCGCTATCCGCTGAGCCAAACCAGCCAGGGCTTGAATATATATAGTCTGGGCCAAATGTCTGGTGATTTACTGAAGACCTCTGTTGCAGCTGTGGGCATGAACTGGGCACTCTGCATTCCGCCAATGCACCAAAGCAGTGGGAGCTGCCCCTGCTTTTCCCCTCTGTCCGAGTCCTGGCCAACCCTCCTAAGGTCTGCAGGAAACTCTGAGCGTCAGACTATCCAGGCCAACCCTCCTAAGGTCTGCAGGAATCTCCGAGGGTCAGACTGGCCAGGCCAACCCTCCTAAGGTCTGCAGGAATCTCCGAGGGTCAGACTGGCCAGGCCAACCCTCCTAAGGTCTGCAGGAATCTCCGAGGGTCAGACTGGCCAGGCCAACCCTCCTAAGGTCTGCAGGAATCTCCGAGGGTCAGACTGGCCAGGCCAACCCTCCTAAGGTCTGCAGGAAACTCCAAGGGTCAGACTGGCCAGGCCAACCCTCCTAAGGTCTGCAGGAAACTCCAAGGGTCAGACTGGCCAGGCCAACCCTCCTAAGGTCTGCAGGAAACTCCAAGGGTCAGACTGGCCAGGCCAACCCTCCTAAGGTCTGCAGGAAACTCCGAGCGTCAGACTATCCAGGCCAACCCTCCTAAGGTCTGTAGGAAACTCCCAGGGTCAGACTGAAGATCCAGGAGCTCATGTCCTCATTTCTTCCCCATAGGTCATCCAGATGTTGAACAGCCCTGTAAGTCCAGTGTCCGCACCTGGAGCCCCAATTCAGCTGTCAACCCACACACGGTCCCCCCAGCCTGCCCCGAGCCTCAAGGCTGCTACCTGGAGCTGGAATTCCGCTACCCTTTGGTTCCGGAGTCTCTGACGATCTGGGTGACCTTCGTCTCCACCGACTGGGACTCCAGTGGGGCTGTCAATGACATCAAACTGTTGACTACCACGGGGAAGAACATCTCCCTGGGCCCTCAGAACGTCTTCTGCGATGTCCCACTGACCATCAAACTCCGGGGTGTGGACGAGGAGGTGTATGGCGTTCAGATCTACACGTTGGACGAGCACCTGGAGATCGATGCCGCCATGTTGACCTCCGTCGCAGACAGCCCCCTCTGTCTGGAGTGTAGGCCCCTGCAGTACAAGGTGGTCCGGGACCCTCCTCTCCACGCGGATGTGGCCTCCGTCCTGCATCTGCACAGAAGATTCACAGACATGTAAGTGCACTTTCTGGATAAGGGAGGGCCAAGTGGGTGGGCTGTGGAGGGATAAGAGGAAGGTCAGAGAGTCTTGGACCCAAAGAAGGTTCATCACAGCCGGACCGACGTCTAGGAGTTTGTAACGTGGCATTGTGTGTGGCGTTGTCTTAACAAGGCAGAGTCGATATGGTGGGAGGGCGATGGACAAGGATGTGGAGGCTTGCGTTTTGGTGATAGCTCTGAGGTGTGACTACGCATCCGAACTTGCTGGAACAGTTTTCCCAACAGTTGGATGAGATTAGCAGCGAGGACATCATGTATTACTCATGAAAGTAGAATAACGGAGATTCACTAATGATTTCTTTTTTACGTGGGAGAAGATTCATGCATCCTGATGGCCTCTTCAGTGGGTGAGAGGAAAGTTATCGCTGGTTGGCTGGGAAGTGACTGTGTTCCTGTTTGTATGAGAGTCCTGCTGGCAGGTGACCATCACAGTCCTGGTCCTTGGCTTTTCTTTTCTGAAGTGGAGCACGGGTTCAAGTCCATCCGATCATTCCGGGCCCTTGCAGATCTGGGTCTCCGTGATCCTTTTGGCTAGTCAATGCTTTTATATGATATAGTGTTTCTCCTTAATAGGCATCTGTTTCTCAAGCCACCTCTCTCTAGGACATTGTCCTCAAACATCCTCAGGATGGATATTTTATGAGAGAGGCCACATTTTTTTTTTTTTATTATTGATTTTAGAGAGAGAGGAAGGGAGAGAGAGATGGAAACATTGATGAGAAAGAACATCAATTGTATGCCTCCTGCATGCCCCTCACTGGGGATCAGGCCCACAACCGGGGCATGTGCCCTGACCGGGAATCAAACGGCAACCTCTTGGTGCATGGGCGACGCTCAGCCACGGAGCCACCCCAGCCGGGCAAGAGAGGCTACATTTTAATGATGCCATTAGTGTTTTTCCTCTGTGCCAGACAGTGGGCTGAGGTCTTTCCATCCTCTGTGTTTCCTCATCATTGCACCCACAACCATGCACTCCTTCCCATTTTACAGAGAAGGAGACGGCCGCTTACAGATGTGCATTGTGTCGCGATCACAGTTAGGAAGTGGTGAGATGGGGATCGGAATTCCACCTTGACCCCTAAGCCAGTGCACGTCACCAGTGTCCAGTTAACAAAGTGACTCCACCTTCTGCTTTAGCCTCACAAGTGCGGGGGCCTTGGCCACCTAATTTGGATACCGAGGCTCTATGAAGTGACTCGCCAAACATTTGCTGAACATTCACGATGCGTAGTGGACGTGGGTAGGGAGTGCTCTGAGTCTCGGGAAGAACAATAGCTCGGGAGCCAGACGCCGCGTGTTTCGTCCCAGCCAGTCCACTTACTAACGTCAGATAAATCAGTCAATCTCGCTGAGCCTCAATTTCCTCTTCTGCGTGATGAAAATGTTGAAGTCCAAGGTTTCTATGGGCCTTTTGTGGCTCTGTCTTTGATTCTAAGATGATATAAGACACAATCTGTGCTCCGTCTACTTGAAAATATTTACTAAGCCAATCATTAATAGAAACCAAGTTCTGGAGGAAACTTTTAATCTTTTTAAGAGACAGAACCACTTTCAAACACTTTACCAGCACTTCCTCTTACATGCCAGCAATTAACGCGCCCATCACAGGCAAAGCCTTGCCCATTCATTGCCTCGGAGATGAAGAACATCTGTTTAAGAACTCAGAGGGAGCGCTCGGTTTGTGTTGGAGAATGTACTTAAAATTTAAAGAATCGCCCTGCCTTGAACATATTCCATAACCCTGTCTCTTCCATCTCCTAACTTGTCTGGAGCAGTCGGGTTCCATAAATCGGCATCCATTTAGAATTTCTGTATAAAACAATGAAGATAATACATAATAGATGTCTGAAGACTTCAGTTCAAACACCGCTTTCTTTCTCTTGGCTCCGATTGCGAGCCTGCGAGAGCTGACAGGGGCTGATAAGTATGGAATGGTGGAAATTAAACGGAAGAAGTCAAAGCACCTGAGTTCTGTTTTCAGCCCAGTCCCCAGTGTGCTCTGTGATCTTCGGCTCGTCACGTGCCCTTTGTGGTCTTCAGAGGACCCCTCTACAAGCATAGGGTAAGCACTCGGTTAGTGGTCCTCAAACTCCGTTGTACAACAGGACAACTTGGGTCATTTTTTAATGGCCTGCGTCTCACTTGCACATCGTCTCAACCCTTCCCAGGTGTTGACTTCACTGGGAAGGATGAGGCCTGACGTTGAAAGTCTCACCAGGTAATTGTAACATGTGGCCAAGTTTAAGAAGCACTACTCTAAATCGGGGTCTCAGAGCGTGGCCCCCCCCTCAAGTGGGTACAAAGAGAGGCCAGGCCCTTAGGCCCCAGCCCAGACGAATCAGAAACGGGGCTTTTCCAGATGCCTCTGATTCTGGTTCAAGTTTGATAGCCACTGCCTGCAGGATCTCTGAGGCCCCGGAGTCTGCAGGGTCTCTTTCACTGACAGAACAAGCATGCACCGAGAACAAGCATGCACCGAGAACATTCTGTGTGCCGGAGTCTGTCCTGGGAGGTGGAGATTAGAGGGATGACTCAGACCAGGTCCCTTTCCTGTAGACACTCGCCCTTGAGTGCTAAAGACCTTAACTACTTACTAAATGCCTAGTCCCCTGCCGAGTTGCTTCCAAAACCACCACTACCCAGGCCCACCTCTTGGGCATTATGTGTTCTCTCGTTCACTCAGCAAACATTTCTGTAGTCCCTACCGTGGGACAAGAACAAGGGCTGACCTGAGGCCTTTGCCGGCCTTTCTCTGCGCTTTCTTGGGTCCCAAGGAATTTAGTGGAGACCTGGGCTGGGCTGGGTTTCTTGACCTGAATGTTCCCTGCGACTCGGAACAAAGTAAAACATCCTTCCAAGTCCACCTACCATTTCAACTCCTTTATCTCTTAGTAACTCAAGCTCCGAACTCCAGCACAAATACCTCTGTGTGTCTCTGTGTGTATTCGGCCGCTTTCGCATTTTTTCCATATCAAATAGATTGGCTCATGTACAAGTTCTATATAAAGACTGTTTTGGAGAAAAAGAGGAGAGAGAAAAAAAAATAAATGCCTTTTTTTTTTCCCCCTTCCCTGACTCAACCCATTACATGATCCCCTTTGACCTTTGTCTTCATTTTTTTCCTCTCAGCAAAAATATTTATTCTTTCCGTTATCTATCCTGGAGATAGTTTCCCAAGGTGTGACATTGATGAAGAGAAAGGCTTCTGTGTTTATCCCCTGGACGCTTCCAGTAGACGGATGACTTTTGGCCAGGACAAGGAAGAGATGGGGAGTGTCTCCCTTCAGTGGAAACCCCTTCACTGAACGAGAGGTGCCAGTAGCAGAGGAAAGGGGACCACCGCCAACTGTGCTACTTCACCATGTGACATTAAGCACATTGCGTCACTTATTTAGGCTTCAGCTTCCCTACGTGTAAAGTGAGGGGAAAACACATTACGTCATTCTGTGTGGAGAGATGTTGTTCTTAGGGGACAGGTGACTCATTCACTCTCCTTTTTGCTTTTCTTTTTAGTAAAAGGGACTCAGCAGAGATTGTCTGTAAGAATCAGTACCCAAGGTGGACCTCACCGGTTCTAGATGCCCGAGTGAAATGCGCAATGTGTGGATAATAATCATCGTAATAATAACTACCACTTACTGAATACTCCGTCTGTTTTACATGCCTTACAAGTATTTATGAGGCAGGTGAAGCGCAGAGAAAAAGCTAGAGCTCAGAAATTCACGCATGCAGCCAAGTCTCATCGCAAATTCTACCTTCCCAAGTGCAGCGCCCCCTGCTGTAGGGATGCAGAGGCTGAACTCCCCAGCTCAGACATGCATCCAAGTGGGCTCAAGTTCAAGATTAGCAGGTGGAAGACAACTCGCAGGCCTCTAGCCCACAGTCAGTTCCTGTGACCCAGTCTTGGAGCCCAGGAGACAAGTTACACAGCCGGTTCTCTACGCGTGTGGCTGGGAAGGAGAGAAAGAACAGGGAGGCTTCTGTTTCTCCACTGTCGACTTGACTTGCTTGTGCTCTGGGCACAACGCTGCTTGGGTCTGTGTGGAACCCTCAGATTTCTCTAAGAAGTAAGGACTTGACAAAACTAAGCTTTTATTTATTTATTTATTTAGGCTTAGCGTAAGTGAGGTATGAGGCAAACCAGGGACAGTGAACAGCAGCCCACTGTCATTATCTGTCTATTCATCTGCCCATCTGTTCATCATCAGTTCATTCAGCAGATGTTGCCCGGTGTCTGTCACCATGGAACTAGGACTAGATCCTGATCCCTGGCCTCACAGGCACACAGTTTAAGGGGGAAATAGGCAAGGGATCCAGAGATTAGACTGCAGCATGAAAGATGCTATTGTGTGAGGTGTACGAGGAAGACATAGGAAGGGTATCTAACCCAGTGTAAGGTAGTGAAAGAAGTTTTCTTAGAAGTGCTGTATAAGCTAAGACCTGGAGGATGAGTAAGCGTTGATCACTGAAGAGATCTGCTACAGTACGGATGGTTGAAGCCAAGTGGATGCTCTGCAGACATTGATAAATGAATGACGAGTGAGCAAATGAATGAGTGAACCATCATGTATATTCTATAGCAAAAGTGCATGTTCAATTGCAGAACAAATGTAGAGTTTTGAGGAAGGGAAATGTCGTAATCTGGGCTATCCATCACTTTGGTCCTTAAATCCACCTCATTCTTTTTAACTGCTGTATAGTATTCCATAGTAGGAATAACTGTGCTCCTAATGTTGGTCCCTAAGTATCGCACACATGCTTCTATTACAAACAGTTGCGGCAGTGAGTGCTCTTGTATAGACTTCCTTGTGGGCACAGGTGAGCATTTCTCCTGGCTAATGCTGAGAAATGAAACTACTGAGTTATCAATTATGGCCTTTTTTGTTTCAATGGATGTAACCTATGGCATTCTGAGATAGTGAACTGGCTCACATCCCAGCAGCAGGGGGAGGATT